ACCTCTCAAGGTTCCACATATATAACACAGTAAACCTCTGGTGGTTGTCAACCAAATGACAGTTTAAAATCTTCATTAATGAAACCCCTCACTGCCACTACAATATCCCAATCATGTAAGGGCTAAAGTGCCTCTATACATGCCATTCTGACTGTCAGCTTTCTTGCCACGCATCATTCTAACAATACATTTAATGTTCATACCTCAATAAAAATTCTAATTAAAATATTAAATAAAACTTTAACATTCAGGAACTTAATAATTTCAGGAATATTCAATATTTAACCCAAAACTCAAGTATACCATAAAACTTTCTTTAACAAAATCAGTAAAATTATTATAATAATTGGGAAATTGGCAAAACTTATTTCTCTATTAATTTTCACTTCTAAAGCTATTAATGTCTATTTCTACGTTTTAAGCCTTTAAACCCTCTCCATGAGGGGGGACCCTGTCCACTCCCCAAAATGGCTTTTGGTAAAGAAACTTTTATGGTATAATTGAGTTTTGGGTTAAAAATGGAAAATTCCTGAAATTAAGTTCCTGAAGTTGAAAATTTGATTTAAATTTTTTATTAGAATTTTTATGACCACTGAGGGAAACATTTATCAAGCATCAAGTGACTATTGGACAATTTAATTTCCGTGCTAGACAAGCTTTTGTATCTGGTGAGCGAGGTGTCTGGAGGGGAGAGTGACTCACGGAATCACATTGTGGTGCTTAACGGAATATTAGGTATTTGAGCGCTTACTTGTGGGAAGTGCTGTTCCGACTGTCAGCTTTCTTGCCACGCATCATTCTAACAACACATTTAATGTTCATACCTCAGTAAAAATTTTTATTAAAATTTTAAATAAAATTTTAAATTTCAGGAACTTAATAATTTCAGGAATATTCAATAGCCTACCCCACCCCCTGCTAATTCCCAACCTCCTCCACTCTTCCTACCACTCCATCCCCCCCACAGCTATTTCCTCCTGTACCACTATCCCCTCCCTCCTAGATTGTGAGCTCCAAGGAGCAGGGCCTTCGAACCCCTCGTGTATCGCATTGTATTGTTATTGTACTGTCGCATGATCTGTCTCCCATTTTAATGTACATCGCTGGGCAAACTGTTGGCGCTTTATAAATACTGTAAAATAATAATAATATTTAACCCAAAACTCAACTATACCATAAAACTTTCTTTACCAAAATCAGTGGTGGTCACATTGTGGTGCTTAACATAATATTAGGTATTTGATCAGTGTCTTGTGGGAATTCACTATATGCTACATACTCATATTATGAATTTGTTTGTAATTTAGGACACCTGCTAAATGTGTATTTTAAACAGTCACCACAATTCCAAAAGTGCGTAGTATTACCTGTTGTGGTGGAAAATTCAGTGAAAATAATACATAATGTGGCCTTGTGAAGCTCGTGAAGATATTTAGAGGAATTCAATTAAAGTGGAACTTTCAGCTAGATATATTTCACAATAGCCACAAAGTACATAAGTATATAAATCCATTTTGTGTGCACCAAATTCCTTTGCCAACCTCGTAGTAGTAGGAGTGACATCATCACTGTGCTATACAGAGCATGTGCATTGAGCAGAACTGTGGGAGGAACTGCAGGCTGCACTCATCACAGGCTGCCTGCAGAAAACTGCAGGAGTGGGAACCAAGACCAGTCACCCTGCACATAATGAGAAAGCAACAGCGATTGGTCTTTGTTACACAAATGCAAAGTGGTGCTTTCTGTGCATGAAGGTAAATAATCTTCATGCAATCTCGATCCAGCGCTGTGCATGGGAGCCTCAGCTCTCCCAGGTCTCTCCCTCCACATTGGCTGAACTATTGGCTCCCATTGCTGTAAATCACAGCCAGTGAGGAAGGGACAGAGCTGAGCCGCACTCTCTGTGTCTTATAGACACACAGAGGTGGCTTGGGAGTGAGCACGCATGAGTACCCCCTATAGCAAGCTGCTTGGAGCGCTGGTGGGGGACCTGAGAAGAGGAGTATAGAGGCAGCTATGTGCAAAACCACACAGAGCAGGTAAGTATAACATGTATTTTTTTTTTTAATTTGAAACTTTAGTATCACTTTAAAGAGCTGTGCAAGAATTACTGTATATGTGCATAATTACATTTATGCACATAATTCTGAACTCACATGGATTTTATCATTTTTTGCACCACATTCAGTACACTTGAATTTCACAGATGTTTTTTTCTAGCTTTTTGGTACCAAATCTGCTGTTCAGAGCAAAATTAGCAGTTTCCCAAAAACGATCAGTAACCCTAGTCATGGGGGGGGGGGGGGGGGCCTGGAAAAAAAGGCATTTGTGTGAATGAATGATAATAAGGAGCCTGATAAAATCTGTTATTTTTGGCACTGTACTGTCATTTGCATTCACCACCCTAAGTGAATCCTCTGCTCATAAAAAGCTGGCATCATTGGATTGACAAATTAGTTATAAATTGCTTCTGAGGCTCCATGCACACTTGACGTTTTGATAATGCTGGTAATATTAGCTGGGTAAACTTGCATTAAAAACCTGAGTTTTTCTGCTTTTTTAAGCGTTTTTGCATTAGCGTTTAGCGGCGTTTGCTGCCTTTAGCGGCGTTTTCCTGCGTTGTTTTACAAAAAAAAAATGTTTTGGTCAAAAAAATGTCCAAACACTTTGCATGTCAGTTTGCATGTGAAATTTTTGTTCACCTTCTAGTGCATGGGTGTCAAACTGGCGGCCCTCCAGCTGTTGCCAAACTACAAGTCCCATGAGGCATTGCAAGACTGAGAGTTACAAGCAAGATTCCGAAAAGGCAGAGGCATGATGGGACTTGTAGTTTTGCAACAGCTGGAGGGCCGCCAGTTTGATACCCCTGTTCTAGTGCATTAGCAGCCTATTAATTTGCTTATTCAGCCAGTTCATTTGAATGTTAACAAAATGCATACAACCAGACAGGTCTGAATGGGCCCTAAGGGCCAATAACACCAGTGCAGCACTGACATACATTTCAGATGCATAGTGTTACATTTTTGTGAATCACAAAACCGCAGCATAAAGAACTTTTTTCAACATATTGCAGTTTAATACAGGGGTGAAAACAGGCCCCTTTAGAAATACTGGATTAGGACCTTGTTCACATATATGCAAACTGGATGTGTTTTTCTATGGAGCCAGTACACATGTGCAGGCCGTCCGCAGTGCGATTTTAACAAAGAGTCAGGTACGATTTTCAGCCCGGATCAGGTGCAATGTCCAGTGTCATACACTTTAACAGTTTGCACCTGAATCGCACCTGAGATAAATAAATCGCACTGGACTCTTTTACAAATCGCACTGCAAACCGGACCCGTATATATGTGAACCCAGGCTAAAAACATGCAAGAAAATGTTTGACAAGGCATCTGATGTATACAGTCAAAAATAGTGTCGCGCTCCACTACCAATTGCCATAATAAAATTGTGAATTGATAATTAATTCACAATTATATTATTGCAATTGGTAGTGGAGCGCGACACTATTTTTGACTGTATTCTCTATAACACAATGGTATGGGTATGTGTAGAGTGTAACCGAACCACATTTCTTCACAGTTTTTACACACAACTTAATTTTATTTTCACCATTGCATTGGTTTCACATTCATTTTAGTCATATTTAAAATATTTAATTATTTCAATATTCACTAGCACTTTGTATACACCATAGTAGCTTACAAGACCCCATACTCTAGTAAAGGCATCTGACCTTAGATTGTACACCCCTTGAGGGTTAGGGGTTGATTTGAATATATATATATATCTCAGGTCTTTCCCAAACCCCTACCATGCAGGAGATCCAGCACAGCCAGGGATGAAACTAGAACAATTAAGACAGGAGCCAATTAACCTACCAGCATGTCTTTGGAGTTTGGGAGGAAACTGGAGTACCCGGAGGAAACCCATGCAAGCACAGGGAGAACTTGCAAACTCCATGCAGGAGGCGCCATGGTTGGGAATTGAACCCATGACCCATTTACTGCATGGCAGATGTGCTAACCACTAAGCCACTGTGCCGCCCATTTATTTATATATATATATATATATATATATATATAATTATTATTATTATTATTATACAGGATTTATATAGAGCCAACAGTTTGCGCAGAACTTTACAATATAAGGGAGACAGTACAATTACAATACATTTCAGTACAGAAGGAATAGGAGGGCCCTGCTCGTGGAGCTTACAATCTAAAGGAAGGGGAAGGTGATACAAAAGGTGATAGCTGCGGGGGATGATCTGGCGAAGGTGATTCAAGTACAGTTCTTAGGTGGAGGTGGGGTAGGCTTCATATGTATGTCTATATAATGTGTATAGACATATATATATATATATATATATATATATATATATAGTGTGTGTGTGTGTGTGTGTGTGTTATATAAGTACCTATAATAAATAATAATTATAAAATAATAAAATTAATATAATAATAAAAGGATTGTTAGATGTGATTAATATTATTTCTAGTGGCTTATTTTTTTTAATTGCTCAATAACATCCATCCTGTGCATGTGGTTGGTTTTAAATTATACATTCTTTTTTATTTTACTGTAACCTCTTTCTTGCTCACATATGTATTTTGCATGAGAGAAAACATTTAAGCATTGCAGCCCCCCCCCCCCCCCTTAAGAGAACAAAGAGGCTGTATCTGCAGTAAAGGGAGGGGCAGAGGATCTATTTAAAGGACAGCCATTCAAGCATAGCAGACTGGACCCTGACAGCTGCCTGAGAACATAGCAGAAACTGGTGAGATAGCTCTAATTGTGTTTGTTTTAGCCAGCTAAATACTATAGCCTGGTCTTACGGGATTGAGAAAACCCATAGTTGGACATATACCTACATTCTCTATAATAATACTGTGTTTATATGTCATGTTGTACCATTGATTGATGTATATGCTTATGTTACATTTCTCTCTTTTTTTTTTTCTACATTGTTAGCTTGATCAGCCGCAGTAGACATGACACAAGATACAGCCCTAGACATGAAGGATGTTGAGCTGAATGAGATTGACCCAGAGAAGCAACCTATGGCTGCAGGGACGGAGGATCCTCCAGTTGAAGATGGCAATGAAAAAAATGGCGTTGTTAAAGTTAAACTGGCGGATGAAGATGATAACAACAGCCGAGCCAAGAAATTTACTGGCCTGTCCAAGGAAGAGCTTCTGAAAGTGGCTGACACCCCAGGGTGGGTGAGAGTCCGCTGGGCTCTTCTGATCCTGTTCTGGCTAGGATGGTTAGGAATGCTGGCTGGGGCAGTCGTTATCATTGTCCAAGCTCCCCGCTGCCATCCTTTACCTGTATTGGAGTGGTGGAACAAGGGACCTCTTTATCAGCTAGGAGACCCCAAGACCTTCCAGGATTCAAATGCTGATGGAGTTGGTGATATCGCTGGTGAGTAAAAAGAAATATAGTGATTACTAGCAGTGAGGATGATTATGAATGATTAATGTGAAAATGGACATATATCTTTCTACAGGAGCCTAGACGTTTTCTAATATGTGTGGACATCTGACCCCTTTGGTGCTTGTTATAAATTATCACTCCACTAATTTTCAGGTCTCTGTAGAAAATATGTATTTAGCTCAAGTGTCTTAACATCAGGCTACTAGTCTGCTAATGTAAGAGTGACACAGAATCACAAGATTGCACAGAAAACCCAATATAATAGAGGAAGTTGTTCTGTACCAGTCTGAGCTGGTCTGAAAATACACTGACTAGCCACTTTATTAGGTATCCCTGTTCAATTGCTTTGTAACACAAATTGCTGATCAGCCAATCACATGACAGCAACTCAATGCATTTAGGCATCTAGACGTGGTGAAGACAACTTGCTGAAGTTCAAACCATGATCAGAATCAGGAAAAAAGGAGATTCAAGTGACTTTGAATGTGGCATGGTTGTTGGTGCTAGATGGACAGGTCTGAGTATTTCAAAAACTGCTGATATACTAGGATTTTCATGCACAACAATCTCTAGAGTTTACAGAGAATGGTCGAAAAAGATGAAAAAATCCTTGTTGAATATGCCTTGTTGAGGTCAGAGGAGAATGGGCAGACTGGTTCAAGATGATAGAAGGACAACAGTAACTCATGTCAATATGGACCAAAATCTGAGGAATGTTTCCAACACCTTGTTGAATCTATGCCATGAAAAATTAGGGGAGTTTTGAAGGCAAAAGGGGGTTGAACTCAGTACTAGCAAGGTGTACCTAATAATAAAGTGGTCGGAGGGAGTATATTGCATTAGCTATTGCATAGTACTGTGCTTATAATTCTTTGGAAATCGTATGAATTCTGTCCAAAAATTCCATGGTAAAGACTGAATTTTACATGAAATATAAGGTTCAATCACTACATATATTTTTGTGTAGCTAATGTGCTACTTATGCCGCTAAGGATAGATATTCAAATTGGTGCAATATTAAATGTTTAAAAGGGTACAAAAAGTCCAAGACCTCTGAACATTTTATATGTATATTTATCATAAAATGCTTAGTATTAGGCTCCATGCACACTGGGCGTTTTAATAGTGCGGGTAGCGTTAGCTGTGTAAAGTCCCGTTAAAAACGTGAGGTTTTTTTTAGTGTTTCTGCATTAGCGTTTAGCCACATTTCTGTTTTTTTTTTTTTAACCTCCCAAAAAAAGATTTTTTTTTTTTGCTCAAAATATGTCCAAAAACACTGGTTTGCCGCATTTTTTAGCTATAGAGCGTTTTTTCAAAACTCCTAGAAATCCACTAGTTTTTGGGGGGGGGGGGGGGGGTTCCAGCCAAAAAACGCTGATTACAGCCTATGTGTGCATGGACACATAGGACAACATGCTGGGGAGTTTACTGGCTGTAGAAGAAATGCCAAATACAGCCGCTGTAAAAATGTCCAGTGTGCATAAGGACTTATGGTGCTACATGGAATCTATACCTGTTGTCTCTTCTTTTGAAAATATCAAGTGTCTGCCTGTTATATTGATTCAGTGGCTTCACTATTTTTGAGGGAACAATTTTGGAGATCAGGAGTTCTAACTTTTGACTTCACCCGCAGCATGCAGTGACTTGGAGAATTTTGAGTCCAGAGACAGTGAAGCAATTAGCATTTTCAGAGGAAGGTCATCAATGGAAACCTCCTTATTTTTACAGTTTATAATTTTCAATTGATTATTAAAGACACTGGTAACTGGAGAGAAGTGACTGTATCTGTTGGTCACACACTAGTCCAGTATTTGCTTTTCTATAAGGTGTGTAAGGATTTCAAGTATCTCAGCATACTGTTGTATACTTGTAGATGGGTGCTAGCGTTTGGGAGTAAGGAGTAATCATGATCATAACTAGCCAGGCAAAGTTTTAATTCTTACATTTTTACTTTGTTTAGGTATACAAGAGCGCCTGGATTCCCTCGCCACCCTTAAAGTTAAAGGACTGGTGATTGGACCCCTGCATACTACTTCTGCAAACAAGCTTTCAGATACCAAGCTTAAAGAAATTGATCCGAAATATGGCACAATGGATGAATTTAAAAGTTTGTTAGAGGCAGCTCGTAAGAAGAGTGAGTATGCTTTCTCTATAAATCTGTGTTCTTAATTATTATACAATAAATATTTTTTTAATTTTTAAAGCAGCATCGTATATTACACCTTTACATTGCTAAAGCAGCCATTTTAACATAGCACCCCTAATTGTCCTAACATTTCATTTCATAACAGACTTATTATGGAATTTATCTATCTGGATTTTATTTAGGTAAAAAAGTTAGTAAATTTTAGTAACCCTCTTTCATAAACAAAGAAATTACCGGTAAACAATCCACATCAAACTAAGGCAGGTGCAGGCTCTGGCTCACCACCACACATAATGCAGTTAGGAAGAAGGGTTAGCCGCACACCGGATGGTTGATGGTGAAATATCACAATAGTTTATTGAATCCATAGGACATAAAAGGTTCCAGGACAAGTACAGAACTGTTGACGCATTTCACACGATCATGTGCTTATTCATATCATGGTTATGAATAAGAACGCGATCATGTGAAACGCGTCAACAATTCTGTACTTGTCCTGGTGCCTTATATCTCCTATGGATTCAATAAACTATTGTGATATTTCATCAACTATTCGGTGTGCGGCTAACCCTTCTTCCTGATTGCAACCCTCTTTCATATAATGCAAGAAGTATGTATCTAGCACAGGGGTAGGCAACCTTAAAGAGGTGGAGATCTACCTGAACAACATGGAATAAGTCAAAGATCACTGGGCACAGTGTTGGTTAGTGTCACCTCCTCACACCTGATTTAAACCTTTAATTGCAGTACTACCATGTCACAATCGCGTGCTTTGCACGGCAATCATTGGTTTAAATCATGTGTTGAGGAGGCAACATATCACCTCCTCACTACCTGTCAAACATTGCTATGCAGAGGAGCAGTAGTGTCTGTTGAACTTGTGAATGAGCCCTTAGTTGCATCTGGCAGCGGCACTCTTAGGGCTCGTTCACATGTAAAGTTGGCGGGGGGGGGGGAAATAAAACTCTGTGGTTGAGTCATGGTTTTACTGCTACCAATCCCTACCCCCTTTAGATGCTGCGGCAGCAGCCAAAGGTATAAACGTGTTACAGCAGGAATTACAACCCTTGTTGCTTTTGGTAGGTGCTACTGCCTGTCAATCGAGACACATTCAAGTAAATGGGGCCACTCTGCAAGTGCCCCGCAACTGCATGCTTCTGCAGGGTCCAAGGGGTTAAGGCAGGTGGTGAGAAAGCAACACACCACTGTCTGTTTAACCCCTTGTTTGCTGTATTGCACAAGGTTTCAGGGCACTTGAACAGCGGCCTCATTCACTTGAATGGGTCATGCTTGGCAGGTGCTATACCCACCAACCATGACAGGGTGCAGGAGCCGGCACTACAGAGGAGACAGTAATCCTTTTGCATTGCACTCTGTTTGATGCTCTGATATGGCGGGTCAGCAAGCCCTGACTGTGATCTACCAGTCACCTGGCCAAAATCTACGGGTAGATCACGATCTACTGGTTGCTGTCCCCCGATCTAGCACAACAAGGATCTCCAGAATGGGTCAAAAGCATTATTCAGTGATCATATCATGAATGCAATAGCAATGTTTCAGAACTTTGCAGGAGCCCTTCACCAGGCACGTGCTTTGGACCCATTCTCGAGATCCTTGGTGTGCTGGTGACATACTTCTTACCTTGAATGTCTTTAATTTCCAGCCGGTTGGTCGTTGCAGTAGTCATTTACATTTACAGACAACTTCAGGAACATGTGCATTGGGAATATTGTACTTGGACTCTCATATAACCACACAAAACTGATATCTTCTTGCTAATGGATAACTGCCTTAAACGTTTGCAAATTTTTTTTTTTTATTATTATTATACAGTATTTATAAAGCGCCAATGGTTCGCTCAGCGCTGTACATTACAAAGGGGGACAGAACATGTGACAGAACAATACCAATACAATGCAAAACATGAGGGGATCGAGGTCCCTGCTCTTTCGAGCTCACAATCTAGGAGGGAGGGGATAGTGGTACAGGAGGAGATAGCTGTGGGGGATGGAGTGGTAGGAAGAGTGGAGGAGGTCGGCAGGTTAGCAGGGGGTGGGGTAGGCTTCCCTGAAGAGATGGGTTTTCAGGGTGCGCCTAAAGGAGAGGAGAGTAGGTGATAATCTGATGGGTTGGGGCAGGGAGTTCCAGAGGATGGGTGACACCCTGGAGAAGTCCATAATGTCCATATATCGCATTCCCCAATTTAAAAGAACACTTGTGATGAATTATTAGATTTGTTTAATTACTGTATTTCCCCACAAACTGGATGTCTCCTCTGTGTTAAAGTAGAACAGAAGACAAACCTTTTTTTGACTTATTATGGATAAAGTACAGAAGGACTATAACCCATGTAGGTTTTTTTGGCATTTGTGTCCCATGGTGCGATTTCCCATCACTTTTTGGCCCATAGCCACAGCAAGAAGTGAGAGGAAATCCTTCCAAAGTGAGGGAAATCTCTGGTAGTCACCTGGGTTATCAGTACTTGTCTCCCCATTATAAGATTTCTCCTTTGTTCCTGTGACCACTGAAAATTTGGATTTTTTTTTTATTTTTACTTTCTGTGATAATGGTCACAAGAAAGAAGAGGGTCAATCTCCCTAATGGGGACACAGACCGCAAACTTGACTGATGTTCCAATTACTCTCCACTCAGTCTAAATCAGTCTTCAGTTATATTTTAACCTCTTGGTGCTGAGTATGTGAGTATGTATATATGTGGCCTTTTGGTGGGTGGGCTGTGACACTGAAAGGCCACATATTTACGTACCCAAAGAAAAACAACTGTGCCGAAAGCACGCACCGTGCGCACTTGCGGCACAGTTACTGGTACCTAACGAAAAGCTGTCGATCACTAGTTCTAGATCACTAACACTAGATCATGTGACAGCCTATCATGGGGGTAACATGATCATAAACCACACCCCACCTCCCGGTGTCAGAAACCCCTTAAAGGGCCAGAAGGCACCGGCTTTAAGGGGTTAAGATGTATAAATGACAGCCCAGCAGCTGATATAATCAACAGATCTGTCTTACACTTTTCTTTTTTGTCAGGTATTCAGATTGTTTTGGATCTCACTCCAAACTACCGTGGCACCAATGTTTGGTTTCATTACAATGTGAAATCACCAGATAGTGAATTGCTGAACCAAATTAAGGTGAGCTTTAGTGCTTGTGGATTGTCTTGCTTCCAAATATATTCCCTTATCACTAAATGACTCCATGTTTATATTGTGCCAATGGTGTAGCTTGGCGGGGCCACAGGGGCAGTTGCCCTGAGAGCAAAATTCTTAAAGGTGGGGTTAAGGGGGCCTCCTTTCTATTACCTGGCTTCACTGGTGTAAGCGACAAATTGGACATGGGGTTTGGACCGTCTCCTGACAAGCAGAGATAATCAGGCAGGCACAGAGCAATATTGAAGATGATTGTCAGAGCTGTGTCCTAAGGAAGTATTGGAGGAGGAGGAGCCAGTGCTGTCACCTCCCTGATCCCATAGACGCACACCTCATCACCCTGCAGCTGCCTGCCTGTACTGCACTGTGCTTATCTGACAATCCAATCCAATGAGAGCTCAAAATGTCCAAAAGTCAATGGCAATTTAATGATAAAATTGATTAATTGCAGAATATAGCCACTGTGATTTGGGGGCCAAACAACCTCCCCTTCATTGGGACTTAAGAATTCGGATTGCTTAATGGACTCAGGTGAGAAGCTACTAAAGAAAACTGCAGTGTGATTTACTGCTTGGAAAGTTTCAGGAGGGCAGGTTACGCTAGTGTTAGGGAATGTAAAGGCTTGCTGCATTCACCAACACTGGCAGAACCTGCCCTCCTGAAACTTTCTAAGCAGTAAATCACACTGCAGTTTTATTTAGTATCCATTTAAGCAGTCAGAATTCTTAAACGATAAGTTCACCTTTCTGGAAAAAAAAAAAATGCACATATATTTTTCAGAAAAAATGTGCATTTATTATATTTTCCTACAGGAGCCTACAGTGCATGGAACTCGCGGTTAGTGAATTGCTGGCGCAACGTCAGACTCCTGCAGACACGTCCTCCAGAATTCTTGCTCATACCTCCTGTATGGGATTTCTGTTTGAAAGCTGGAGGAAGTGTCCGTGGACTATGAGGGCGCTCACCAGTGTCCTTGCAATCCATTGAGAACATCAAGCCATCTGCTGCAGTGGCAGAAGGAACTTGTAGTTTATTCATTAACAGGTTTCTGTGACTGAAAGATGCGGCTGTGCAGGGGAGAGGATCCCCCATGTGTTGTCACATGTGAGGGGGTTGAACGGGGCAGGTATTGGATCATGTTACATGCTAGGCCCTAAATGTGGTTGTAACGTGCTGTAAAACAGAAGCCAATGTACCTATTGACAATTGCAGTGTCCCTTAGAAAATCTGAATCCAGCACCCTATTTGTTCTTGTCTGACAGGACAGGTGAGAAATCTGACACATCACTAGGTGAGGAATTCCTTGTTGTCACTGTATGAAATCCCCTCTCCTTTCTTAAGTCCTATACTTCTCAGTCAATGGGGCTAGCTACAGCTTGTACATGCTGGTGGAAGGGACTCGGCCCCAACGTTCAGCGGATTAGGGGGGGCAATACTTGCTTTGCCCTAGATGCTGGCGACCATGCCACTGTATTGTGCCACTTTTTTTTTTTTTTAATAATGTAAGAAAAACATAGCCATATGTTGTCGAAAAAGCTGTTTATTTTAAAAAAAAAACTCTGTTCTTTTGTAGGAAGCCATGAACTTCTGGCTCGATTTTGGCATTGGAGGAATTCATTTCAATGGGATTGAGAACATAGATAATGTATGTAAAATCAGAGTGAAATTTGCAATTTACTGACAAAAGTGACTGTTTGTTTTATGTTTTGTTGTTTTTTTTGCTGACATTCAATCACATCTCCTATATTACAGCCAGGTGAGGTTCTTGAAGAACTGAGGAACATTACTACCAACCACAGCTCAGATGGGAAAGCAAGGTGAGTAGCAAATCTAATTTTTCCTGTGTTATTGGCAGCTTTTGTCTGACCATAACTTGCTTATTTTAACTGTATTTTGGTTAGATATATAGTTGCTACCATAATGTTTCATCTTTCATCTTGACAGGGTGCTGCTTGCCTCAGCTAATGACCCTCACAATGACAACGTTCTAACAATTCTTAATGACACTGCCAGCGGCATGTTAACTGCACGTTACCTGATCCACAAGGACAACTCCAGTGAAAACTCTCTAGGAGATCGCATCAAGCAGTACCAACAAGTTGCCAGTGAACAGGACAGGATCCTCTGGGCGGTAAGGGCAGCTTTAGTAGCAGGATAATGGAGAGGCCATGGGTGCAGTTATATACACTAAAGGAAAAAAAGTGTGTGTTTATTACATTGGGAACAGATTGGTGTTCTTGCATGCTGCACACGAGAAATTAATAAAACTGTATCCCATATACAGTATCTTTGCATTTGGTGCTGAGTAATGTATAATCCAACATACAGTATCAAGGAGAGTATAAGCAATGCAGAACAATTTTCTGTCAATCACTAATTTGATAAAAGATCTTTCTTTAATGCATCCTGCGAAATCTACATTGCAGCAGTCGCCTTTCAACCAAAGTTTGTTTTACATGCGTACATTACAATTTTTTAAAGTGTGAAACCGCTTTAATAGTTTGTTTTGCTTTTCTTATGTAATGAAAATGTAGGACTTTGGTAAACAGTAACCAAAGATCTCACCTTTCATATTTTAAAATGTACTAGAATGCCATAGAAATATATGGGGTGGAAATGTGATATTGATCTGTTCAGATGATCTTTTGTATCCTTGAATGTTGTGTACCCTCATATTACCCATACAAGTCAGTGGCTCATCCAATAAAAAATTTGAATAAGTGATGCAACAGTTTAGAAATGTATTTAGAGATAGGAATCATCATAGACGTCTGACATTGGACTGAAAAGTTCCAATGGCACCATGATACACAGGCTGTGGGTAGTTTATTTGATATGCAGTAGGGTTCACAGGCTAAAACTGGAGAGTGTTAAATCTAGTGCAACTGTGCATGGTAGCCAATCAGCTCCTAACTTCAGCTTGTTCAATTAAGCTTTATTAAAAAAAAAATTGGAAGCTGAGTGGTTTGTGTGCAGAGTTGTACCAGATTTTCCACTCTACAATTTTAGCAAATCAACCCCATTGTGTTCATTTATAAAATAACATACACTTGGAAGACCTCTTTATCCCATGTCATACAAATGATCAATAGCCTTTGGAGTATGGAACCTCTGGCCGATTGATAAGGTACTTGTGTTCTTTGTCTAGAACCTTTGCCAGCAAATTATAAATTCACCATATTAATAATTGTAAATACCTATCCATGATATTTTATGCAATCATGTGTTAAATCCTTCCCCACAGGTCAGACCACGGTTGGGACACATGGCCTCTGCGGTGCACGAGAACTTGCTACGTGTTTACCAGCTACTGCTTTTCACTCTTCAAGGCACACCTCTTACTTTGTATGGGGATGAAATTGGACTCAAAGACTTACCTGGGCAGGTAAGTGTAAATTGTACAATCACTTGTAACTTTTTTTAGCGTTTTTCTTTATAAATACTTATTATTCCATACTAAAGTCAAGCAGCAGAAAGCAGGCTGTCTTGCTCATTATTTTTATGAACTCTGTCAAATGAAATATTATTTTAAAATTATGTTGCAGTACTGTATATCCAAACCCTGTAATATGTGTAGATTTCAAAGAGTACTCTATCTCTGACATGTTTTCTCCCCTCAGCCTGCAGCCAGTTCTCCTTACATGCAGTGGGATGATAGCACAAACCATGGATTTTCTAAAGGATTACCAGAAAAGAGCTCAAATGTCAATGAGAACATCACATTTAAGGTGAGAATTGCTGTATAATTCAAGGTGGATAAACTAGTTAAAATACTGATAGGTATGAAATGGAAGTCCACGTACCAAGTGTCGGTAGAGGAATAAATAATTTAGACTGATCCTGTAGCAGTCCAATACATTTTATTATAGCTGATTTATAAATAGCCAGCACACCAGAAATAAACAGCAAAGGTCCCATAATGTATTGAGATTTAATTAATGCAAAATGCAAAAGTTAAGTGTAAAGAATAAGGATATGCTTCAATGTGCCACATTGGACCCCTTTCTTGAGGTGACAAACATGCATATGCTACCTAACATGGCCCCAAGGTCCCTCTCCCAGTTCTGTACAGCCCACCTGATAGGCCTCACTCTTCCTCCAAGCTGTCTCCGCAACCACTCTAATGGCCAAAGTAAACCCCACATTCTTTCAAGCAATCTCAATTCAATTAGAAAGCAATGGGGAAATTGCTTGGGGAAGTTTTTCACTTCCAAAGAAAAATTCTTGCAATAGGACCCCCCTTTACCCCAAACAAACACATGCCCAGTGCTAGCAATGCCCATGGTCCCAGCGACCCCCCCCCCCCCCTTCCTGCTGAATCAATTGGGTCCGGTACAAGAGGGCCAGTATTCCCTATTAGCGGCCTTGCTGTTAGACAAAGTAGTTATACAACAGCTGGTAGGAGGAAACCCAGCAGCCAGTGAGGGAGATGTCAAAAGTGCTGAATGGCACTGGCACCAGTGGAAACAAACAAAAAATTTGGCCACTTAATGTAGAGATAAGTATGTAGCTTATTTTTTCATATGATGCTGCAGGCTGAATTTTTTTTTATGAGTAACAGGGATGGTCAAAGTGGACTAGTATGAGTATTAAATTCTGCCTATAATGTCTCTAACAGCCTCAGGGACTTCATACACACCCAAATATTGTTAGCAGGAGTAGATGAAAATCATCTAATGTCTATTAGTAACTCAGTACATTAAACAACCTGAATCCTTCTATAAGAGTTTTATTTTCTGAGTATCTGCCAATTTGTATTGTCCATTTGGAGATTTGTATACATCCAAAAATTAAATTATCGGACACAAATCCATTTGTTACAAAACGAAATGCACATGTCTAGTGGAGAATCACTGTAGTAGTTGCTACTACTACAGTGATCATCTTTGTCTTCCAGATTTTTGTGCTGAGGTGCTGCCCTAAAGATTGGCAAGGGTACTGTTCATTTTTCTCAATAAATGCAAGATTTTGATTGGACAAGGTGGAGAAGTGGGGTGGTGATATTACAATCTCCACCTCATCCAAAGCTTTAAATACCATTAGAAAAACAATACATTTCAAACTTGTACAAAAATCATGAACAAGTAACTTTAGAGATACAATCTGGTATTTTTACTATGAGTATGGGAGACATCCTTCTGTAATGACAGCTGAATTCAAATAAGTTTTGATTAGAAAGCTAGCAGTACAAACGTCATTCTAGTAGTACAAATATTATTCCCTGCATTTAACTACCAATATTTTCTTTATATATGTATTCCTTTTATGATGAATGCCCCCTGCCTATACTAAAGTCCTCTAGCCAGGCAGTTATTTTCATTTCTGCTTTTAGTATTCCAGGCAGCAGGGATCTTCCTTCCTCCTGACTCAGCGGATATCATTGTTCTCAGATAATCTGGTGTCAGCAAGTTCTTGGATCTTTGTTCTACTTAGAAACCAAGTTTCCGCCAAAGGGAAAAAACATTTCCCAACTTAAACCTCTAAAGGCTTTGTTAATATTTCTGATGTGAAAACTCTAAAGCTGTGTTAACTTCTGACCTGCAAAATGTACTTTTAGCATCCTGGGAGCTTTTTTTTTTATTTATAGAAGTTTAGCTTAATAGAAAAGCTGCTTTAAGTTGTTTATGAAAGGATATAGGCTTATGCTGCTAAAGCTAAACCCCATTTTTGGCTTAAAAAACAAAACAAAAGAAAAACAAATACAAAATCATAGCCTAAAGGTGTATATAAATGTTTTTTCTTGCTTGTGTGATTAGATCATTGATTTTCTTAAACATTTACACTAAGATGCAAAAAACATTTTAGGTGTCCTCTGCAATCGGAATTTCATTTTTGGTAAGATACTATAGTTTTTTTAAAAGAGGTATGGGATGTAAAAAAAAACAAACAAACATACTCACGTAAGTGGCTGAAGAATCAGTCCGATGCTGTATCTGTCCATTGCTGCTTCTAAGACTGAGAACTGAGCGATCAAAGACTGCTGATCACTCAGTTCTCAGTCTTCAGTGAGCAGAGAGCCGGTGACTGTCAGTCAGGAAACTGGGTGGATCCCGAATTTAAAGGTGGGATTTCTCCCAAAGCCTGGACCAGCTCAATAACATCAGCTGATGAATACGGGTCATAGGAGTGCAGAATGAAGTTTTGGCCTTATGTCTCCTTCAATTACATCTAAAGTGATGCTGCAGACACTGCAGCTTTCCTCACAGACCCTTCCATTTATAAATCAGTCTATAAGAGGACATGGTGAAACAAACAGCTATTTTGTTTTCTTAGCAAAAGTGGAGCTGTGCACGTGGGAGGGGGGTACGCTAGGAAAAACTGACCATGGTGTGTTATCCTGCCTAGTGTGGTCAGTTTGTGATAGGAAAGCAGAGGGGCTAGCACCAGTGATTTCACACAAAGGAAGCAATGCAAAGAGATCAGGATATCTTTTCACGTACATGGTACAACAGGCACATATCAGGAATACGAATTGTTGACTTTACATGCAGTATTCTTTAGCTCCCTATACCCTAACAGAAAATTAGATATTTCTGACATTTTAGATTTCAGCTAATTTGGATTTCAGAGAGGATTATGGGAGGATGCTTGCTCTTTTGCAATAAACCTTTCCCCTCATACTATTAGCTTTAACAGAAACCTTTTGACATAATCCTGATCAGGGGCGGACTGACAACTCATGGGGCCCCCCGGGCAATAGGGGATCATGGGGCCCCTGTGTCCTTGCCCAAACTCAAAGCCTATGAAAAAGGTACCAAGGGCATCTCATGGGGCCCCCTACTGACCCTAGGCCCTTGGGCAGTGCCTGAGTTTCCAAATGGTCAGTCCGCCCCTGATCCTGACATGCTTACATATGTTTATATTCATCACTTTTGGTTACCTTCAAAAAAAAAAAATCTGACCTATTCACTTTGTTTCTAGGGACAAGAGGACAACAAGGATTCAATCCTCAGTGTGTACAAACGTTTGAGTGAGCTGCGTGGAAAAGAGCGATCACTTCTACATGGAGCTTTCACACTACTTCATCAATGTGACAAATCACTAGCATATGAGCGCAGTTGGGACCAAAATGAAAGATTTGTGTCCATATTAAACTTTGACCCAGATGAGGAGATAAGTGTGACCATAAAGCACAAAAACCTACCAGAGCAGTGTACGGTGGTGCTGAGCTCAAATTCAGAGAGGAAGGAGGGTAGTAGTATCCCAATAAAGAATCTGAAGTTAGTGCCAGGAGAGGCTCTGATGCTCAAGTACCCCTACAGCAGTTAAATAATCCTCCTGTAAAAGGGGAACTTTCACATTCCATATTCTGACCCTGTTATTCCACATAAAGAGGCTCAATGTATAAGGAAGTGGCTACACGTGCGATCACACTAATATATAATAATGAAAAACAGCTGAGATGGTAGACCTTCTCTATGGTAGCGGACACAAGTCAATGGGTGATCGTCTATGATTAATAGCATATAGCTGGTTTTATAGAGTTTTATAGACATACATTTCATGTGTAGCCATGTCCTTACTCCTTACCAAATCCCTTTCACTCCTCCCTCCCTTTCATTCACCATAACAGCAAAAGGGTAACATTTGCTGCAGCATTATAGGTTTTCAGGTAGGTCTTTATACAGCAAGAGGTTCTTTAAACGCGTTAATAGCAATAAATGGAGTGTGTTTTCATTCTTTTTTCCTAACATTATGAATATTAATTGTGCACATTGCTGTGCTTGTGTGATTTTCTTTTCATACAAATATAAATGTTTGCTGCACAGTGTTTGATAAAGATTTTCCTCTGCTGATTTCTGTGTGTTAGTGGAGGGACTAGTTAAAAGGGAGAAAAGCATTAAGGTCAGAATAATATTCCATGAATAAAAATAGCATTTCTGTGATTGGATGTTGCTGTGTGGTTATTATATATTTATATGTGTAATGGACCCCAGACACCCACGACTGGGTATCCCCATCAAGACGCTGCTTCTCAGGCTCTGGAACATGAGACCAGTGAATCTGGCTATGGTTACCCCAAGATCCAGATGACACCAGATTTGAAGTAAGCCAGAGGTAGAGAAGTTTATTTGAACACAGATAGAAGATATATACACTCGAGACAAATCCCCCCTCCCTGCATAATGACACAGGGCGGGGCAATTACATTTAGTAACACAGGTATTCAAACTTCACACCAGCAGACAGTCCCATCAGGAGGGAGGGCTGCTGGAGACACCCCCCCCACCCACCAAGCCAATACACACATAAACACATACATCCCATAATAGTTTGCTCCCAAGCAAGACACACAATAGAACAATGGGATGCAACCACATGGCATTAAACAATCTACAACCCCCACCCCACCTATACATGTTTACACAATATTAGGACAGATCACCCTGTACCCCTAACAGGCACAGGGTGACTTACACATAATAGGGATATGGGGAGTTGACACAGGGGTCTCCCCACCTCTCCAAAGTGGGCTGGGTTCCATGAGCCCCCCCACCCAAAGTGACTCCCGTTACAATATGATATATTTATTATATACATACTTTATTCAGTGAAAGCACAGCTTCTTGACCAATGAAGACCTTGTACAGTATGGCATATGCCACCATACTACCCAGTAACTGTTAATACTTTGCCAGCAGAAGGAGGCGGGTAAAGAGGCAAACCTTTTGGTTCTGCAAGAATCACTGCAATATACAATTACATATCAACCAAATCATATTAATAAGAACTTTGATCTCCAAACATTTTAATATGAACTCTATGTATGATTTTTATTGCATAGTTACATTCGTCCAGCTTGGACCAGTGTAATTATGCATATCTTAAACCGCTGTGGATTCTGACAATCACTGTAGTAGTTAGTGCTACTACAGTGAACGCAGCAAACTTCCGGGCTTCTGCTGAGTGGCTGCCCCACTGCATACTGACCACAGGGGTTCACTCACTTGTCACTGCTGCAATTCACATAAACATCTTGTATTTTTGCTTGGCCAGCTTGGACCAATGTAAGTATGTATGAGCCATAACCACTGGATGCCCCTAAAGGCTGAAAATCGCTTTAGTGAGCATCACTGCTACAGTGATCTCCACTAGTTTCCGGGTTCCATGCAGAGCAGTTGCCCTGCTGCATTGAATGCAGGAGGTTGTTTTCTTAGAATAGGCACCATTTAGGGAACATTTTATATTATTTCAGTGAGGATTGGATGAGTTGGAGAGGAGGGGTGGTGACATTGACTTTGTCCAGTCAGAGAACACTTTGCATTAATGAAAAGTGTTCTATGAATGGTGCCCTTGCTAAGCGAGTGACCACCTGTGTTCACAGATCAACAGGGCAGCCATTTAGCACAGAACAGCGATACCTACTACTATGATTTCCAGCTTCCAAAGGGAATACCGCAGGTATGGAACATATATTGGTACAGTCTGAATCCTCCCTCCTAGATTGTAAGCTCCAAGGAGCAGGGCCCTCCTATCCCTCTTGTATTGGACTGTATTGTTGCTGTATTGTCTCCTGTTATATTGTAAAGCACTGAGCTAATTGTTGGTGCTATATAAATCCTGTATAATAATAATAATAATAATGTAACTATGGAAAAATTACCATACATAGAATTAGGCTATAAGAATGAATGTGCAATTGTAACTCTTTGCCTCCAAACACAGCAATATGAGCTGCAAGGCAGCTGCTGTCATATTAGAGATGCCTGTTCCTACACCTGCCCCTGATGACATCATCAGTAATGATCATAGGCAGCACTGGATGAAATACCATAATGATGTCTGTTCCTGTTTGCTGCTGTGTGTGTGTGTGTGTGTGTGTGGGGGGGGGGGGGGGGGCGTCTCTTCCCTTGAATCAGCTCTCAGAGCTCTCCTCACTGCGCTCCTCGGTGTGTAATTTCAGATCCCTGCCCCCTTTTTTCTGGAAGCTCAGGCAAGGTGTATAAATTCAGCACTTTGAACGACTGTAAAGAAGAGAATACTGCAGATAAATGGGCACAACTTATGTAGGAAGATTTGTTTTGTTTCTGTGTATCATCTGACGCCAGTCACTTCACTGGGTATATGGAGGGGCATAACTGCCACGAGACAAATAAGGCATTTGCCTTGGGTAGCATTTTACAGGGGGAAAGTGCCACCCCCATGCAGAAGGTACACCACAGGTGTCGGGGGCCACCATCCGGCAGGGGGACAGCCGAGCTGACCAGACACACAAGCAGGAGACCGGCTGCAGAAAAGGGTGGCCTCACCCACCCCACACAGCCCGACGCACACTGACAGCGGCCCTGTCCCTTGAGTGCTCCCTGGACCTTAAACAGGAAGGGGTAGGACAAATTTAGATGGGGGGGGGCACCTGATTTTAGTCTTGCCTAGGGCAGCACAAAACCTCAGGCCTGAGGAAGAAGCGTGCATGCTCCGAACGCGTGCCACACGCTATCTTCCAGTTCTAGGTGACGTCATCTGCTGCCAGCCTCCCTGCGTTTTTCTGCATCCTCCGGAGCACTGGACACCACTAGAGCAGCGGGAATGAAGAGGATCACACAGGATCCAGCCACTACACCATCGGGACCCACTATATCACGAGATGCATGTTTGCGAGTGTTCTACCTAATAAATTGCTCAATTTAACGAAACTTCTACACTTAGATTGTCACTGCTGTGTTTCCTCTCTGACAGCTGGCCGCCTTCAACTCTAGGACTTATTTCCATTAAGGAGCCACCCTTTATTCTTGGATCCATACTTACTTAGGACAGTGTCGGACTTTACTTGTCTGTTAGCCTTGCTTACATGTATGGACTTTTATGCTATTTATTTTACCTGGTTTAGATACCTGATCTATGTTGGTTTTTACATCTAGGACAGTTTCTTAGTGCTCCCTGCCTTTCCCCTTTTATTGTTCACAAAACCAAAATACACTACTGAGTATATGTAAGGGTTTTAAACCACTTAAAATAAATGGGCTTGGTAGTTCTAAGTCTTTCCATAGAGTACCCATATACAAGTGTAAAAAGTTTCATATGAAAGGCAAGATAATTGCATGTTAGTTTTGAAGGTGTGTCATGATTAATACCTGAATTGTATAATGAAACAATTAGAATAATCCTAGCATTCATGATTTTCAGTTGTATAAAATGGCCCGAGGGATAGTTGTGCAGTTTTAACTACCACAGTCTTTGTGGTACCATATTTAGATTTTTAGTATGTTGGATGGAATTAAAATTTCAGACATACTCCACTACTGAGACTAACCAGGCATGTTAACAGTTGCATGTATTAAAGGTAGTTATTAAGAGGTTGTCAAATGAATTATCATGTCACCCAATATTTGGTCTCCATTCAGTAGCCAAAAGAGGCATTCAAAAAAGGGGGATTTGTGAAAAGAAATTCACAGAAAAAGCGGCTACATTATGAACAGAACGTGACACTCAGAAAAATTTTTTCCAAAAATTATGCTTTATTACACATATATAAATATGACATATGGGCGTTCGCCCTGGTTTACCATCACCTCAGTATGAGACAATACACACAGACCTAAAACCATATAAAATGACACCAAGACCGGTCTAAATGCATGTGCAACAGAAAAAATGACTGCAAGAGTCTAATGTCCCTGTAGCACAGACACATAGGTGAACACTTCCCAAAAGAGGTGTATCCAAAAATTATACCATAGGCATACCATAATATAGAATATTATAAATAGAACAATACCATTATGGTGAATCCCAATCAGGGAATCCAAAAATTATACTATGGATATAAGTATCACATGTATGCAATGCAGCAAGCACAATATGCGTCAAAAAAGAGAACAACAAGCCTCAGGCCTGTATGGAGGAAGACATAAATGTCAAATATATGATGCAATACATTCCTGTGCCGGCACAAGTGGTTGGGGCCCATTCATCTGTAATATAAACAGCTGTATCCTAGAGCTCTTGAATGAAAATATGCCCCATTTATTCCCAGGGTGGAAGAAAAGATGCAAAAAAGCAGCACTCTGCTTGAAATGGTATCTTCACCACTACATGTGGACTACACACCACCTTCGTAGGGAAAACAGGACATATCCCAAAAGATCTTCTGCCTGTTGAGATATATGTGGTATATCCTGTATCCTATACAAAGCACCATGATGTCCCCATCCTGTAGTGAGACAAATGATATGTGGGAAGTCACTGACAGAGTTTACACTCAATAAGATATATAGGTCATATAGATCACAGAGGACCATATATCTAATGTCCTGTAACAGTCCACTCAC